AGGAGCTCACTCCGTTGCGTGGATTCGATCTTACAACTGCTTGGTCTTCTGACCTTGCAGCACAGAGGCTTCTGTGGTTTAACCAGCAGTACCACCACGCCCCTCAGTATAAAGTTACACGGGTTTTAATTGGATCCAGTGCTAGAAATATTTAATTTAAATGAATGGATTTGAAACCTTCCTACCCACCCCCCTTTCAGGTTCCAAGGCTCCCTTTCTCCCTGATGAAGCCTTTGAGAGCCTCAAAATGGGGGAAGGGTCAGCATTTAACTGTCAAAAATCAATGCTAGATTGCTACCATTTTGGATCAGGACTTCAAGTAGTAATCCAGCAGCAATGTCTATGAAGGCATCTTCTCTCCCAACCAGAGGCAATCAAAGGCTTCCCTAGGGCTCGCTTTTGCTCTGAGGAAGTCTTCAGAAGCAACAGAATTAGGAAGGGGTGAGCCTTTAGTAGTCAAACATACGCTCCAGATCACTTCTGGCAGTTCCAATCATACCGGAAACAATCTGGCGGTGATTTTTGACGATTAAAGGCGCCTCCTCTTCTGTTTTGAGACAGAAGGATCCAGTATAACCTTACGCAATAGGATGTTGCCTACTGTTTTCAAATAATATTAAAGTTCTTTCTATGTGAACTGGTCGAACATACCTGTCTTTGTTGTCAGCAAAAATCTCTGAACAATGGCAGATTTACTAGTAATATATGTTAATGGAACATGCCACAGATTCCTAAAGTAAAATAAGAAATATGATTTTAGAAATATTTTCAATGATTGCTTTACATAGGCACTATGAACAAATCATAGATGACAGAACTACCCAGACAGTTTAGTAATTTGGTTATGAGCAGCTAGTCAGTACTAAATTCTCTCTAGAATGTAAACAAAGACCCTTGCTCCTTTGGTGTTACCCTGTTCGCGAAGAAAAACTAGAGCTCTTCATATAGTGCTCTTGTTGCAAATGAATGTTCCTCCCTTTCATTGTAACAGTCACTAGTGGGTATCCTTTCTGCAGTGTCCAAGTATTCATCATTGTCTTCACATCATGGAAGTCGCTTTTCTTCCAGTGCTATAAATCAGGGACAAAAATATGAAAGGAAATATTGAAGTATACAAAAACTGATTGGCAAGCAGTAGTCAAGAGAGTTGAAAACAAATACAAATTGAATATATTTGCATGAAGCTCCACAATCAAGAATACAACAGCCTCAGAGAGAATAGCTTTAAACCTTTTCAACATATGGCAAGGAAACATTTAAGATCTATGAAATCTAACACAGCCTCCTGAATACTACAAACGTGATGGAAAAAACTTCCCTCTTTCTCCTCCTGTGCACTTGCAAGATGATCAGAGCTTTCATTTCAAATTTTAAACTAATTGCATGCCCCCCGTAATGTCTCAATTGTGATTTGTTTGACCAATAGTTTGAAAACAAGTCAGGTCTCAAATCAGGCCTCACCCCTGGCTTGTTCTCACTAACCAAGACAAATAACACAGTTCCTCAACTTTGGGTGAAACAACAAACTCTGGTTCATTCAAAATCAGAAGCAAAACTTTTCATCTCTCCTTGCAGGAATGAAGAGTGCAAAGTTCACATTAGCTCATCTGCATAGCAGGAAACCATCTAAACCATGACCGTATAAGGCTGATGAACATTCACTTGCATTTGTTTAACTCTGCAACTACAATCAGATTTCTTAGATCCATAAATTTCCGTGCAGACTGTAAGGTGACTGGAGCAAGTAGCCTCTTCAACACAGTAGAAGGCAGACAACGGCCAGCTAGATGATATAGTTAGCCCATATTTACTGGTGGTGCTCTTTGAAACAGTGAAAGATGTTTGTCACACTATGCCCTTTTCCTCACATACACGTGCTGTGTTTAGCATGCACTGTTTGACTGGTTATGAGAAGATCAACAGGGGCTTAATTTGCAAGTCTTGTTAACCAAGACATGTACCTGAAGAAAGCATGTTGTGGGAAGAGACATGGTTAAGCACGAGAAATAATTTCACCCTGAAACAGCTACAGCACACCGTCTGAGACATAAGTCCCAAGGGCCTTTGCAACACTGGATAGCACCCTAGGGTACAAGTCTTATGAACTGCTGCTCTTCCCCTCAGACATCCTTCTTCTAACAGGCTTTTCTCAAGATTTTACAGCAATGGCAGATTTCACTGCCACTCTAGAGCTCAAGAGAGCAGAATCTGTTGGTTTCCAAAAAATCTAAAGTGCTATTTGCATCTTTACCAGTGAAACGATATCTCACTGTTTGGTGGAATAATGTTTTATTATAAATTATTATAAATTATTAATTCAATTTGTATCCCACTCCCATTAGTGTCACACTCTGGGTGGGTTATAACTCATAAAATAGAAAACACAAATGAAAATAGAATTATTAAAACTGATAACAATAACCCTAAAAAAAATAAAACCAGATGGCACCGACTAATCTCGGAGCAGATGGAGGAAAAGAGGGGAGGGAAGAGGGAGAAAAAGGGAGGAATGTTATTCCTATAATGTTCATAGATTTGTAAATACAAATGTATAATAAAACACAAGCTTACATCATTTGAGATTGTCTCCTTGTTTCTTGCACAAAACCCAGTATTTTGAACACGACTTTCCTCAGAATCATCCACAGGACAAACCTGGGACATATACAATACAAAACAAAATAGCAGTTCTGGTCAGAACTCCCTTTAATGGCATTAGCCACTAGATTTTAAAAAAATAAATATATAAGAAATACTTGCATCTGACAAACTGTTCCACAGATCTTCATTTCGTGTATTCTGATAACTGAATCGAACCAAATATTTAACAAGTCCAGCTTTAAAGACTTCTGGAGTGAGATAATCCTGTAACATATTTAAAATACATGCTCCCTATAAAGAGAGAAAAGAAATGGTATAATTTCTGAATTTGATTTCTCAGTGTCTTACAAGTTTGGATCTAAAAGACTGTACAGTATTCTGATTAGGACATTCCTTCACCATGCATTCTCATCTTTTCTTTTCATTGCTTTTATGTAAGATTTCTGAATCATACAGATTTTTTTAAAAGCACGAGATAGTATTTTGTATCCTTTTTTACACTTACATAGAATAGGATAAACATTTCTGAATTGTACAGTAATAGAGTAAAATACAGTGGTGCCTCGCTTACCGATCGCTCCGTTGAGCGACAAAACTGCATACCGACGCTATTTCTGCGATCGCAAAAGCGATTGCTTTGCGATGTTTCCTATGGGGAAAAATCGCTTTGTGATGATCGCGCGGAAGCAATCACCGCAAAGCACCCATTTTTAACAGCTGATCGGTGGTTCCAAAATGGCCGCCGCAAAAACAAAATGGCTGTCACTGTTTTGCCTCGCTCTAGACTAGAGGCACCCAAAATGGCCGCCACTATGGAGGAATTTCGCATAAGGTGAGTTTTTAAGCCCATAGGAACATATTAAACACGTTTTAATACGTTCCTATGGGCTTTTTTAAAATCGCTTAGCGATTAAATCACTTAGCAACATTTTTCCTGGAACGCATTAACGTTGCTAAGTGAGGCACCACTGTATAGAGAATGATGTCACAAAAAAAGATGGGATAACTGAGAGCCTGCTTTTATTTTAAAAAAGTCATGTGGTTCAAGAAAATTATATTTATTAGGGCAAAACTGCAGTAACATTCTAATTTGAAACTTGCATGACCAAACTTTTTTACATTTTGGTATAGGAAGAAGATCAAACGATAATTTTGGTGATCATATTGAAACTTATCACAAAACTCTGAAACCTGTTATTTGTTTAACTATACATAGCAATTCTGAATTATCTTAGTGCAACTTATTATTTATCTGACACATCATCATCCATTGTGGCAGACTCAAAACTATGGATGAAATCCTGTTGCTTAGCATAGTAAATCACAACTAAATTAAACCAATTTGAATCAATGGAACTTACAAAGGAGTTGACTCATCAAATTCCCAATGATTCAATGGATCTACTCTAGCTGCCACGTACTACAGTAAGTAGCACAACTTCAACTTGTAAGTATTTGCAGAAGTATAAAGTTTTGGGAAAAATATCTAAGAGGTATATCCCACTGCACCCAACTTCTTGATAACTCAAAAAGTATGTTCGGTGGCCATGGAGTGCCTTTTGGGTGGGAAACTGGGCAGGTAATGTAATGGAATATCCTGCAAGAAGGCATGGATGATGTTTTGAACAGAAACACCTTGCACAACAATATTTTGCAGCTGATAGCACTAGTCTTTCATATATTACCTTGTCATAGGAAACATCATCAAACATTTCTAGGATCTGAGATGGATCTTCAACAGGAGTAGATATAGGATGTGAAGAATTTAAAGCATCTACTTCCATGGCTTGAAAATATTTGTTCAAAAAATAATCTTCCTAATGAAAGAAAAACAAATCTGAAACATTCCTTTACTCGGCTTTCAAATTCACTGTTAATAAAACATGAAAGCAGATGCCAATATATTTATAGGGAATTCTTCGCACAGACATATTTCTACACAGCCATTTTTTAAACAATCTCCAAGACACATCAGGATATTTTTTTCCATCAAAACCACCCAATAAGAAAGTGTTCTCGTGAGTTTTTTCTGTGTTCTGTTAGGGCTGTTTGTTATTTCCTTTATAGGACTTGATGATTTGGGACTGTTTTATCATCAGAGAATCACACAGCCATGATTCCTTGATGCCTAGACAATCCCTAAACAATGAGTCATTCTAACAGGAAGTAACAAATAACTACCAATCAATCTTTAATTTAACATTAACAGCTGAAGATTTTCTTCTTTACTTAACACTACTAAAATACAGAGCAAGAATTTTAAAATATGAAAAAGGTAAATAATATTTGATCACTAGGAAAGTTTAAATAAACATAAAGTATCTACTGCAAAGTGGGAAAGCAACTGGGAAATTGCCATGCTGCTATTTGGCAGTGAACTGTGCTGCTAATTTTTTATGTCTAGGGTGTGTGTGTGTGTGTGTGTGTGTATGTAATTCCCAAGGTGCCAGCCAGAATGAAAACTGCCCCATGGCTCTTAAGAGATTGCTCTCACCCCAATTTTGGTATTCAAAGTAGATTGTAAACATGTTTGGCTAACATTGTTTCCAAACTCAGTGGATACAGACCTTTCACAAGTACATCAACTACCACCAAGCACACCATGTAAGGACGGAAGGAAGAGGGATTAAAAATACCTAAAATATACTCTGTGCTAATTACAGTAAAGTTCAAAAGCTAAATCCTAAACTGAGCATAAGGCCAAATGAATACAGTGACATTTAATACACATAGTAACTAAGTGACTACACATAGAATTGCACTGCACATCTGTTAAATCATTACAGATGGAGAGAAGGATCATTTTTCAGATATGTCAGTAGCACAAGCAGGATGGGCTAAAGAGGAACAGTGTCGCCAAAGATGTTAACTTGGATATTTAATTTACTATTGTTATTTTTAATTTTTAAATGCAGCAGCTATGTATTTTAAAGTTTGCTGCGGTAAATTTCTGTTAACTGAAAAACTGGTTTAAGTTCTGAAGGCCTTGCAGAACACTGAATTGCCCCCAGGTCTCCTCCAGGGTACCAGGGGACTTTCTGACCTGAATATTTTAAAAAAGGAAAGTCAATACTCACAACTTTCAGTTCTGGGTGGGTAACACTTGTTGAGATAAATTCCATAAATTTTGCAAATCCTTCATTGAGCCAAAGATCATTCCACCACTCCATGGTCACCAGGTTTCCAAACCACTGCAAAAAGAAAATGGTTCAGCCCCACTTTCCTGAGTTTTAATTTTGCTACTGTATTTTTGACTACAGAAATCCCACTAGCCCTGTCTCCTTTGCTTTCCAGCACTAACATGAACATTCTAGCAATGTACTAAGTAGAAGAATGATGAAGTATGCTAGCTCACTCAACATGTTTCCTGACCCACTGAATACATATTGAAGGATAACTAAGAGATATAATGTGACTGCAGCAACAACTGATGCCCCGCTAGGGAAATCTGTCTTAAGTACTAGTTTCTGAGTATACATAAAACTTACTTTAAGAGGTGTGGAGTACTCAAACCATTAGCCAGTGCCAGCAGTAAGACTCTCTAGAGAAGTGGTTCTTAAACTTGGGTCCCCAGATGTTCTTGAGATGCAACTCCCAGAAATCCTGGCCAGCACAGCAAGTGCTGAGGGCTTCTGGGAATTGCAGTCCAAGAACATCTGGAGATCCCAATTTGAGAACCTTGCTCTAGCACAGTGGTTCTTAACGTGGGCGATAATGCCCCCCAGGGGGCGATTTCATTTTTCAGGGGGGCGGTAGAATGAAAAGGGGC